TTACAGAAGTTCAACTTCATCAATCTAGGGTCCACAAACCCCCAAACATCGGTTCTGGTTGAACAGTAAGCTATTGTTCCTCGCAAATCCAGAATATCTGGATATCTATCGGGGACATATCCGGATATCCATATCCAGATATCCAGATCCCCATATCCGGATATCGATATCCGAATATTTATCGACCAAATATCCGGATATTTCGCGACAGAATGCAGTTTCTACATTTCGCGAAGATATCCAACAAAGGTCCAACTTTTACCAATTAAATGCGTTCAAGACTCCATTTTTAGGTCTATACAGGTTCATACACATGTTAATTACTTGCTTAACCCATTTACATGCAAAGACACCACCTTTAAATCATTTAAACTCATGATTAAGGTTAGGCAACTCACCAAAGCTTCAAACTCAGAAATGGAAGGCTCTTGGAGCTCACAACCAACTCCAAAGGTTCTGACTTGATCCCAAAATGAAAATGCTCCACCAAAGGTTGGTTCTTTCAACTCAAAGGTCACTACTTGGACCTCCAAATGCCATGACCAAGGCTTCTCAACACCCAAACCTCACAAGGTCAGCACCCTCACCAACACACAGGGGCTGGAACTCAGAATGTATACTCACACTCCCCCACCATGCAAGCTCTCACAAGCCCAAGGTATTTTGGAGAAGAAACCAAGAAGAAAGGAAGCTCCTTGGCTCACAACAATGGAGGAGAAGGTGGCAAAGGGTGGCTGACTACAAGGCTCAGCAAAACTCACGTAGAGGCAACAATATGGCCTAGGGTTTTGTGCAAAAGTCTTATATATAGGTCACTTAAGAATTAAACACACAGTATTAACATTAATTGCTACGCTTAGCATTTTAATCTCAAACTCAGGATTCTTAACCTACTCAATTTTACAAGAATTATCATATATTTTTTAAATTTTTCAGAGCACCTTTCCGGTACGCGCTTTTCATAGCCAGTACCAGTTTCTGGCACCAATTCTCATTATTTTAACTTGAAACTCGTTTTACAAGTCCTACATGTTATTCTTGTAATTATCATGCACTTATTATAATTTTTCGGGATACTTTTTCAGTACGCATTTATACTGACTAGCAGAACCGGTATCTGCACTTTTCGTCAGAAAAGCGACTTTCAACATTATTACTCACTTACTATAATTATTAGAGCCTCATAATAATTATTAAGGTCAATTATGGAATTATCTCATTAAACTCATAATTAACAGATTAATTTCCTTAATTAACGGTGCAGGTTCTTGCAGGTTTTGTCCGAGTTTTGACCGGGTCGATGCATGACCGGTCTCATACTTGACCCGAACCAGTCCGATGACCGGGTCACCGGGTCGACCCGGTTGGATCTGGCCGGGTTTTACAACACTGCTATTTATATTGGGGTTAAGCCTCAAGAATCGTCATGCTCCAATCGCATAAGGCTGCCATTTCCGAATAGGTCATAGAGAGGAAATTCTAGCTGTGTAACCAAGGTTTTTCGCTCAGTAGATAAGATGGTCCAATCAAATACACATATTCCTCTCAGAATGAAATTGATATATGATGTTTTATCTATCATGCATGTTTCGATCTTAGTGTTGAATTATTATATGAAAATTTCTTATATATAAGACCCAATTTTTTATTTATTAAAATAATTCTAAATTTGCATTTAGAACCTAAAGTTCATGATAAAATTTCGTTTGGAATTTTTTGCCATTGATCCTAGAAACCTTGGGGTTTTTGTCCTACGTGATGAAAGTTTTCTAACCATATATCATTTGCATGTTTTTATTAAGTATTCTAAGAAAATTTGAATCTGAATTTTTGGGTTTTATTAATTAAAAGTTTAGAAAATTTCTCGAATTATTTTCCATCGATACATTAGCTTTTGAAAAATAAGTGTTTAGTTATCTATTGATACAAAAATTGTTTGAAATCATTTTCTATAGCGAGGGAATCTCGTTCATGAATGTATTGTTACGAAATATAGGGTTTATATTATGAAAGTTTCAATCTTTCTTTAAATTGATCTTGTTTCATTGATGTAAAACGAAAATTGGTTTGAGGGTTTCAGTTCCCCTTTGTTTTTCCACTGTTTTATATCGTTTTTAATACAAAAATCATATCTTTTATGCCAACAAAAATCGCAACCCATAGCTTGAAAAATCATTTTTTAAACCTCTACAAGCTCTCAAAAATTTGCTGTTTTGAGATGGATTATATTAAAATCTTGTTGGTTTGTTGTTTCTGAGTTATTTTGTGATGAAAATAGCTAAAAAATTTGCTAATTTCTAGCTTTGATGAATCCCATGGCGGAACCTGATTCGAGCAGGTCAACCCGCAAAAGGAAGAAGAAGACATTGCAATAGAGAAATCTCAAGGATTGGGGTGAGATTGTGAGAGAGACATCCTATTTATATTTCTCATTTAAAAATCTCATGAAATTCACACCAATAGAAAAATTATTAAAATTGTCAGATTTTTGAATACCACAAGATTTTTTTTTTTTTTTTAAATCCTGATTGAATACCAACGGATTTGCAGGGACTCTAAAATAATCTTTTAAAGTCCTAATCAAATACCACATGACTTTTTTTTAATCCTTTAAATCCTAATTGAATACCAATGATTTTTTTTTGTCCCAAAATAATCCATTAAAATCCTTTGAAATCTCAATCCAATGCATCCCTTTAAACTTATAATTCCCATCAATTATGCAAAGAAACATAAAATGTAAATATTTACTATTATATTTTCAAATTGAAAATCTCTTATACACTCTAGTGAGATTTATTCGATATCCATTTTTTTATTATATCAGTCTGATAAAATATCGATAATTTTTTCATGATATATAATGAAATTTCAAATATTATAGATGTCGAAGCGTGTCAGAGTATCGAACATGACACATCAGATTTTCTGAAATGTCTGTGCAACATAATTTCTAACCGTTAATATGACTTACTTAGGGATGTAAATGGGTAACACGACCTATCAAGGGTCTACGGGCTACGGTCAGGCCGATATCAGGTTAGACTTAGCTTATTACATCTAATAAAATAGAACATACTCAAGCAATCAAGCCTTAAAAAAAACTTATTTAGAAAGTAGGTTATAGGCTTTCTTTTACAAGGTCTGGCCATAAGCCTACACGCTAACCTATATCATATTATTTATTTTAAATAAAATAAAATTATTATTCAAATAACTTTGAATAAAAAAATAATATTATTTTAATTATTTTTTTAATTCTTAAAGGCCTAATAAACTTATACAGGCTAAGAGGTCTAGGCCGGACCTTTTGTTTTTTAAATATAAGTAAAGCCAAAATGATAATTTGGCTTATATTAGGGGTATTCAAGACAACCATTCTGTTTCCCAGCATTATTTCTAAGATAAAACATGTTTTTTTTCTGATTCTGTGACTTGGAAGAGTTCTGAGACTCAAAATTACGTTGGTTAAGACATTTTATTTTTATTCCGAGAATCAAAATTACGTTTGTTTACACATTTTATTTTGTTCCCCAACACTATTTTTATTTTTACTAACAAAATTGAATTTTAAAAAGCTTATGAGAGAGAAGGAGTGTGTGTTGGCTTCTGCTTTTTCTGCTTCTCATGCTTCTTCTCTTCCTCTTCGACCCTTTTACTCTGCAAAATCGCACTTTTCATTTTTTTCTTAATACTTCATCTTTGCTTTCTCTCTCTAAAATATTTTCAATTTATTTCTCTCTCTAGAACTCTATCTTATTCTGTGCTACGTTTGGATCGAATAACCTTTAAATTTTCAAAAATGTTCGATGAACTCGGGGTTTGAGTCTCGAGCTGCGAAATCGATGGTCGTTGTTTGTGGTTTGTGAAGCTCGGAGAATTCGAGCTCTTTTTTTTAAAATTATTAGGATTTTTGGGGGGAATAATAATCATAATCGGTGGTTTGAAGGAGGCAGAAAAAGAATTTCGAATTTGCAGTGAAAAAATAATTTGATTTTTGTTTTTTGCGTCTTCATTGGGAAGGCAAAGGTGGCTCTTCCAAGAATGTGTCGTCCTCGTCATTAGAAGGTGTTGCAATGGCGGCAACGTTTGATATTCCGGCGAGGCAGCTTGATTTCTCCGGCGTGCCGGAACACTCTCAGCTACAATTGCATTCGCAGTCGCCGCTGCAGACTGTAACGCAACAACCAGTGATTGTGATGTCGTTACCGCCGCAAATACCTCATCCTTCGATTAATGTTCTTTTTGAGATAAAGGGTTAAGAAGAAAAACAGAAAAATGATTCTCTTTTTGTTCCCTGGAACGGAGAAAAAAAATCTGTTTTTCTTTTATTCTTTAGCACAAAAATTAAACTAGTTCATCTCGGGAAAAAAAATAAATCGATTTTACCAAACGCTATTTTTATCAGTTTCTATTTGCAGGAACAAAAATAAAAGAAAGTTGATTCTCGCGTGGTTGTAATGCACACCCTAGTCTAACAGATGAGGTTAAATTTAAGGAGAAGAGAAAGAAAGAAAATTAGTGGATTCCACCAAGTTTTTAAGTGTGCCAATCTTGTCTTGTGCAAAATAACAAACATATTTTTCTATTTCTTTTATTTATTTTGGTTTGGGGTACTATTTTATTTGATTTTAAATAAATATTGAATAAGCCATTAGTATTGGTATAGTGGTAAGGAATTTTGGTAGGTTGTGTATTAGGATGTGTATTCAATTTCTGTTTGTATTCAAAAAACAATTAATATAAGGGGGGAAATACCTTAAAAAATTATTTTTAAAGTAAGGAATTTTATCTTTTTAAAATTTTGTGAATTAATATTATAATATTTTTAATTAAATTAAAAATAATACACCGACCAATTCACTAATTAGGAATCTATGGCATCATAGATAACCCAATCACAGTCGGTGTGACTGTCGTAGGTTCCTTTCTTCTTCATTTAACCAATTACTACGTTGTTCTTTAACCAAATTCTCCTCTCGCTCTCTCTCTCTCTGTCTCTCTGCATTCCACGTCCTTGTCGATATCGCTCACTAGATCTACTCTCAAAAGGGTATGAATTTTCAAAGTCCTGCTTCGTGTCTGTGATTCATTGGAATGCTTTGGTGTCTTTTTTTTCTGAATGCAATGTACAAGTTCTTCACTTTTTCCTGTTTAGAGTGTTTCTGTTCCCACCCCATTTCATGATTTATGCTCAATATGTGTGTTGGTTAAATTGGATTTGGATTGAAGCAACGGTTGATAATGATAGTATGCGTGTGATTTTTTGTGTTTCCACTTTATGTGTTTTGTCTATTGCTTCAATTAGACACAAATAGGTTGGTTAAAGCATGTTACTGAATACTTCATGATTCTATCCACCATAGATGGAATTTTCCATTGGGTTTTATTTAACTCCCTTGTATGATATGTTACTGTTCAAAACAAAAAACAAAACTTTGATGCCATTCAATTATGATTTATATTATAGCATTGTGGTTCAATGAGTATTAAGATAATTATAAGTGATATGCAATAGCATTATTTCTTAGTTTTCATTTGCCTGTTATTGCTAGCTTCACAGGCTGGAAGACTAAGAGTTGTAGTCATAGATGGCACTCTCAGTTTCACGGGCTATGTCAAATGGTGTAGTGATAACAGTGCCTATTCTGGTTCTCTCTGCTTCAGTGGTTGCTGTTTTTCTGTTCTTCCTATTGTCTTCTCTCTCTTCTTGCTCCTGCCCTCCACCTTCAGACACCACTGTTTCCAATGCTAGAAGTGTTGATGTTGGTGTGTCTGAGTCTAGCAGCAGTGGTAGTTTTTCTTTATTGACAAGGAAGGAGGATGTTGAGTGGGTGAAAGGTCAAATCCGAGCAAATGGGCTTCATATGCATGACAATGTGCTTCGCAAAGGTATTAATCCTCGCACTAGGGCTCAGCAACTTGAGGATCTTAGACAGTAAGAACCTTCCTCTCAATTTGTTTTTATCAAATTGTGTGTGTATATGAGTATATATAACTTTTGTTTTGGGATTACCACTTTTTAATCTCATTCGTTTTATAAAGTCTTCATAATAATTGTTTCTGAGAAGTGTGCCATTTATAGTTTGCAGTGAAAGTTGTTTTTTCATGGAGGGATGAGGGAGGTGGGATTTTACATGATGCTTCAAAGTGATGTGTGAATACTTTATGTCCATCTTTCTGTGAAAACGTGGATTGAACATTGTCTTCACAACTCAGTTTTTAATTTGCAATTTATAATGGTTGAGTATTCCCATCTTCCTAATCTGCAGTAGGGTTTTCAAATTCAAACACCATATATAACATAGTTCTAACTCACAGCTTCTTCTTCTTTTTTCCCTTTTCTTGAAGCACACTTTTATCATAATTAATGAACTAATGAACTACAGAATCTTGCATTATGATGTTTTTGTTAACTTGAGAACTCTTGTTCCTTGTCCTTGTCTCTGTCTCTTTCTCTTCGTAAGGCTCCAAATAAAGGATCCCAATGTTTTGGTAGCCACTTAGGAGATATATATGCTCTTGAAGCAATGCTTTCAATTTCTAAATCATTTGTTTGAGCATGAATGTATGAATACCCTTTTGGCCTTTTGGATTTTCTGATTACAATCTCTTCTTCTAAGTGCAGATTCAAGGGCATATCACACTATGAGGGACCTGAATCAAATAATCACACAGCCTTGTCATGCCCTGGGGAACTCCTAGTTGAAGAGCACCATAGCAACTATGGTGAACCTTGGGCAGGTGGAAGGGATGTGTTTGAGTTTCTTGCTCATACCACTCAACTCAGACCAGACTCACAGGTGCTGGAGATAGGTTGCGGAACTCTTCGAGTTGGTTTGCATTTCATTCGATATTTGAATCCTGAACACTTTCATTGTCTCGAAAGGGATGAACTCTCTCTGATGGCTGCATTTAGGTATGAGCTTCCTGCTCAAGGCCTCTTACACAAAAGACCTTTGATAGTTAAGGGGGATGACATGGATTTCAGTAAGTTTGGTTCTGGCATAATGTATGATTTGATTTATGCTAGTGCTGTATTTCTTCATATGCCGGATAAACTCGTATGGATTGGACTGGAAAGACTAGCATCTAAATTGAAACCTTATGATGGACGAATCTTTGTATCACATAATATAAAGTTCTGTTCACGGTTGGGAGGAGAGGAATGCACAAAGAGGCTTATGAGTTTGGGGCTTGAGTTTCTTGGGAAGCATACACATGATAGCCTGCTATTCAATCACTATGAGATATGGTTTGAGTTTAGACGGTCAAAAGCTTAAGGTCTGGATTGATTCTGTAAAGAAGCATGAGAAATAGCTCCTAATGGCCCCAATGCACTAAATGTGTCTTGCTCATTGCAACAAATCTTCAGCAACTCAATGATATTCTTGCTTCGAGTCCAGAGATGTGGCAGTTTTTCTACTCAGTGGTTCATCAACTCATGCCAGAAATCTGTATACACTTTTGACACTTTTAAAGAGAGAAGGATCATAATTTTGATATAGGACTCATCAAAGGCAAGGAGATTTGTACTATTTTTTGGGGTCCTATTGTAAAAGGGCTAGCTTAATATTTACCTTTTCAATGATAGTGTTGTATTTAGCAGGCAGGTTATCTTGCAACTCATTGCTGTTTTGACAATTATTGCATGTGATGCCAATTTTATATACTTACACTTTCGAGGATTTATATGTTGTACCAAAAGCTTTTTGCTGAATGTTTAACATAATTACAAATTCAGGATTTGAACTCGACCTTTATACTCAAACACAAACTCGAACCTGATTAAGCTTAACTAATCTCTTACCAATTAATTCATGCACTTTCTGATAATAAGTTGATTTTGAACTTTGATTACTACATAAACTTAAACATTTCGAATATTAGTTCAATTAACTTTCAACACTCAAAATTTATTACTTTTTAGTTGTTTAAAAAAAATTTATTCTATCCAATAAAATAATTTAATATCTATTAATAATTTTAAAATTAAATAAAAACTTATCTCCTTATCTCTTACATAAGATTTTTATTTAACTTGTTATTTTATATGCAATAATAGAAATTTTCATGCTTCTTATAATAATATTACATAAATAAAATTAAAATATATTAATAATAACACATAAAATTAAGTTCAAAATATTGATCAAATATTTTTTTTTTATTGAAACTTACAAGAATAAGATTAAAAGATGATACAATTCATAAATAAATAAAAATAATACTTAATAGGTATTATACTGATGTACTTTTATTTTATTTTTTAAGATAAATATATGTAATAAATTATGTATTTTAAAAATTAATGCCCCGCACTCCGGATTAGTCTCATAGCCGGCTCAAAGAGTCGAAGCTCGTGGGGATACCGGAGGGAGCCAACTCGTCTCAAAGAGGTAATTAGGGTTGGGTAACTCCAAAAAAAAGAAATTAATGCATGCTTTATTGCTATTTGTTTTTAAAAATTTAGAAAAAAAATAGTCGCAATCTTTTTAAAAAAATATCATATGACAATTATAATAAAAGAACTTTTATGCAAAATAAAAACAAATTAAAACAACAACAACAATAATAATAATTAAATAAATGATTAAATACCTTTTATAATCGGGCCTATTGTGATGAATAAAAAGTAAAATACACAGAGTTTGTGAAGAAATAGGTCTCAATGATAACGATGTTAGCAGAAGTCAGTGAAGCAAGAACCCCTTCTTAGCCTAATTTCATTTTGGTCTCAACAACACACAGTAAGCTTCTACCTTCACTTTTTAGCTTTAACTCTATGTTACAGAAATACCCATGTTGATTATCCAAAAATAAGAAACACCCATGTTGCTCTTGTTTTCTATGATTACGGTTTCATGTTAAAGTTTACTCTTTTTTTATCTGGGGTATTTTAATTTGCTTTTTTTCATTAACAAAACCCAGTTTATGATTTATTTTATTTTATTTTTCCCCAGAGGTGTGTTTTGATTCCCGTTCACCAAAACTTCACATGTAAAATCACATAACGTGATGTATTAATGAGGAAAATCAGTTAGATAATAATGTGATGAAAACAAATTCAAAAATTGAAAGGCACTGTTTGGTACAATTGAATTTGTTGTGCTATGTTCATTGTTTTTTCCATAAGAAAGATTTGCGTAAGAAAGCACAAAGCAGATGAATAGGAATATCGAAAGCCATGTTAAGAGAGAAACAGTCACAAAGACCTAGAACAGGTGAAGCCTTGTCAAAATTTGTGTGGCCTTGTTTAAGGTTATTGTGTTTATCTTTCTCATTCACATAACCTTGTCATGTGAAAACCAAACGTGAGAGGGCCCATTCCTCTCTACTAGTAGACCCTGCTCTACTTTTTCAACCTGTAGAAAAAAAGGGTAATTCCCAGTTATTTAATGGCTCCATTTATTGTATCCAATTGTTGATTTGGAGTGTTTCAGTTTTTCATGATTAAACGTGACACCCTTTTATGTGTCTGGTACTGTGCCTATTGATGTTTCTTACATTGTGTTTCATCTCCAGGAGTGAGGACTCTGCATGTTGTTTGCAACTAGAATGACGTCATCGAATTATATGACAAGTGCCAAGGTTATATCATTTGATTATATCAGTTCAGGTGTTTCTAAAGCTGGTCTTGCTGCAATCTTTTTCAAAACCACGTTTGGCCAGAAGCAATGCTCTACATGCTTGTCCTTCAGTTTTCCTCAACCTTGTTTAAATGTCAATTTCAAGTAAGTCAGTGGCAGTTTATGCTCTTATGAGAGTCTATGCTGTAGGGAATCTGGGAAATGTAATGAGATAACTTTAAACATATACTGCATAGTTGGAGTTTCTGTGATAAATAAATGCAGAGATGGAGCTTAACATGTGTTTATATTTAATACATGATTATATTATTATCCTGTCTTTGTTGTTAGACAGTTCTACACTAGTGTTTTATTTGGTTACAGATTTTCCTCTTCTTTGGTTCGGTGTAATTAAGTATTTGAAGTCATAATTAAGGGTCTTTTGGGGGTCTCTAAGCACCATCCAAGATGATGAGAAGAGTATCTTTTAATTTGGTGGAGGTTATCTTCACAGGATAGATGAAATGTGCTTCTTTACTAAAATCAGGATAGATTAATTTGGTGTAAAACTTATGAAGAAGGTAATATCTGTGTTCTTTCTAAAGGTTGTATTCTAAAAGGGTAGGCGAGCATTGTTTAATGATTCAAAAAGGTTGATATTTTCAGCTATTTTGGGATATAAATATGAACATGTGCATGTATCTGAACATGCATGTACGCTATTTGAAACACTTCAAATACTCTGTAGGTGAATATCGTAAGTTAATTGTATGAAGAAAATTATGTATTATTGTGATAACTTTTTCTTGGGATATTAAGTCTATATGTCCCTCTTCAGGAGGATGGCTTGGTCCGTTAGAAGCAGCATAGATGACAGTAGTTTTAGTCCTTCCACTTCAAATGGCACTAATGGAAGGACCCGCATAATTAGAGTGATTCAAGAGTTTCAGTCCAAGTTAGCGTCTAAGATTCAGGAGGTGAGGAAAAATCTTGCGATGAAGCTTCTTTTCTTCTTGGTTGGAGTTTATTGTGCAACTGCCTTTGCCACTGTTATTGGACAAACTGGTGATTGGGATATTCTATCTGCTGCCTTGGCTGTAGTTATTGTGGAAGCCATTGGGGCTCTCATGTATAGGGCTTCTCTTCCTTTTGTTAGCAAGAGCAAGAGCCTAATTTCCTTATTTAATTATTGGAAGGCTGGCCTTACACTGGGACTTTTCTTGGATTCATTCAAATATTGATTTGATTTCATTATTGAATACAGCAATCCCTTCCATGTGAATTCATATCTCCTCGTGTTCTTTAAATACTTGGCATTTTTTACGCAAATGACTTATAGTCATTGTAGTTATCCATCACCTGTATGTTTGATAGATGAGGAAGTTACACTTTTCTGGACGTAAGTTGGATATATTTGAAGTTCTTAAAAGTCCCTGAAAGACAGTGCTTATATCCAGAAGGTAGGACATTAAATTAAAGGTATAAGGTTAATCGTCTGTATTTATGATCAGCATAGCAATGGGTTTGACTGGGAACATTAAGGACATTGACACATTCAACAACTCACATTAAAGGTTATGGGTTCGAATCCAGGAAACAACCCTTTTGCAATTATGAAAGGATAAGACTGCATACAAGAATTGCTCTCACCTCACCCTCGCTAGTCGGGTTTAATGGGAAGTGGTGTTTTTTTTCTCCATTGAGTTCAGTGCTGCTAGAGATGTTACCTCCCTCAGCAACAGTTCACTTCTTTAGTCCCTTATTCCTGAGTTTCACACTTTCATTCAATTTGGCATTGGATCCTTGCTAGTAGAATGGCTGGTATTCACTCTGCTGGGGAAGTCTGACAAATTGGAACAAAAAGAGGTCTACTTTTATGTTGACTTGCGACCATGGATAATGGTATACATTGATGTGAAACTGTGACCCTTTTGCAATAAATATGTTACTGCTCTACAACATGAAAGATGTGACTCTTACATACAGAGGATACTTGAAGTGCTGCTTGACTGGTGATGTCAAAATTTTGGTGCAAATTATGCAATTTGGCACAAACATAACCTTAGTAATGTGATTGTGATCATCCTTTTTGCAGAAACTACCAGATTTTTTTTAACAATGCACCAGGTGCATGTCTTCCAGGCTCCATCAAGAACGGCAGATAATGCCATCTGGGGATTCATTTTGTCTATATTAGTATATAGAGGATCTTGTGAAAAGCTATCCATCATGTTTATATAATTATAATTTTTAAAGAAGAGAATTTGCACTTTGGATTTACATTTACCTTTTGTAAGTTGTTGATAGTACATATTGGTATAGATATCACTTTGATGTACTTGTGTGCAGGAGATGCACTGGAAATTGTATTGGGACTAATTTATGTGCACATGTCATTTTTCCAGCTTAACTTGATGGTCAAGTTATATACATCTTAAAATTTTGAAAGCTAGTCAATTTTCAAGGGATAACAACTTCACTGTGTACAGTTCAAGCAAAGTCAACTTGAATCTTAAAAGCTTTATTTTGTGTCCTTGCCTTGCCTCCTTCCATCTTGAATCTTAAAAGCTGTGCAGATATCAAATATTATGTAAATATCATTACTCTATTGGCAACGGCATTTTATCATCTCTACAAGAAACTTACCGAAGACTAGGATTCGGAACTGCATTAACTACCAATTAATATTACCGATACGGATACACTTTAATCTTTATCATCTCCTCAGAACATAATTTACTTACTATTGCATTCAACCTCTCTCTTTTTTGGATAAATTGCATTCAACCTCTTATACCCTATGTAGCACCGATACGACACGTGACACGACACGACATTCCGACACGTCAATCCTAAAAATTTATGGATTTCGACACGTTAGGACACGTTTTAATATTAAATAATATTTTTAATTTATATAGTGTATATTTCATTTAATATTTAATAATTTAACAAAAAAATGAAACTAAATTAATAATACCCATCAACACGTTATAAAGATGAAAGCTTTAATAAAAAAAATAAGAACTGGGATGAGAGATATATATAATATCAGATAGAGAGATCAAATCATATTAAGAGATCAGGAACAAGGAGATACAACAAGAGCGTGATAGGAATTGACAACAATGATGCTGAGATAATCTCTTATCTACTTAAGGGGGAAAAAGACAAAAAAAATAAAATTGATATGATCAAGTGGAAGTTTTATTAATATATTTTAATTTTTTTTTAAAAAAAATTACGAAAATGTCATTTGACCGTGTCGGACACGGTCAAATTCGCGTGTCGGAATGGTCAACGTGTCAGAAAAAGTTGACCGCGTGTCCGACACCGTGTCGGAGCGTGTCGGACACGACTCTCCCTGTTTTTACAAGTGTCTGTGCTTCTTTGCTTATACCAACTAACATTTAAAAATAAATGTTTAAATGGGTAGTTATTTGCAGGGTCCCGTTAAGTTTGTAATGTTACTCATGTATCAATTGGAATAAATTTCCACATAGCCCATCTAATTGATGGTCCACCTCGTTTTATGTTATATATGTTCGATATGATTCCTATTACAGTTGATTTCTAATTTCACCCTTGCTATCAATAGACAAATATAGAGACCAATGTTTTGCTTTGGGGGCGTCAATGAAGTAAAATTGTCTCTATTTTACAAATGGTGACGGGATTGTTATCATGATCTCCATCCATAGAAAATATGATAAAATTAAGATTCTCTTTCCTTCAAGTTAAGGAGGAAAAACTCCAATATAAACAACATTGATTCAAATGCAATTTTCTAATGAGTCACATTAGCCATCTAAGACTTAAATATACAAATGAGCTCACTAATTAACTAACAACGTTTAATACCTCCCCGTTTGAAAACAACATTGTCACCAAGGTTTATTACTATGATATTATTACATATTTACTAACAAGAAGGTAGTATGTTCCTAATGTCACCAACAAAATTATCAAATGTGTAGATGTGCATGTGGCTAAGATTTTAACTACGTAGAGGTCTCACATATACTGATATACAGAGGTGTTATATCAATCCAAAGAAAGTGTGTTTTGGGGGAGTTTCATTTGACGGGTGTTTTGTTATGCAAGTCTCCCTCACAATGAATGGCAATTTGAAGTAATTATGCAACATCAAGCATCAACATCAGGGCCTGGATATGCTGGTAAACTCATTATACGCTTGTCTAAGACAGGACCTCCAACAGTAAAATGATAGAGGCTCTGGAATGTTGACCCTTTTAACCCAAGCAACTGATGCACTGCAAAAGAACACAAGATTTTCGATTACTATACTAGTGCAATATTACAAGAAGTACACTACAAGTAATTTTTTACATTTGCATTGGTTCCTTCAAGTATACAAAAGGATATGTATTTCATAGCCAAATACAATTAAATCTTTCACTAACATTATAGTACATAAAGTTTCTGAATATTTGCATTAGTACAACATATCATTTCTGCTGAGAATATGTATTTCTATTTGGTTAATGATCTAATTGATGAAGAGCTGTCAAATTTTATTCTTGCAATGACAGGCAATAGTCCTCTGTAATATTCCAGTTCTCCCTGTTGCCCCATGAACATTATCCTTGACAATATTATTGTCTAATAGTTTTTACTCTAATTTATAACAAATTTTGTGGGCCAAAAACAGATGCTTACTTCACCTGCAGATATGTGCCACAAGCCCACAACTCAATACTCTAGCAACTTTGCTTCTATAGTTCAATTGCTAGATAAAGTAGGAACTCAGAGGATCCTAGAATATGGTTCTCCATCTAAAATGTATAACTACTACTCTTCAGCAACTAGTAAATCCTTCTGTAGTTCAATTGCTAGTAAAAGTAGGAACCCAGAGGATCCTAGACTCTGGCTCTCCATCAGAAAACTATTCTCTGGATAACATGCAATTTATGTGAAATACATACCGCGCTACCAAAAGTGTCATAAAGGCAAAGCCGGAAAAAACCAGATACCAAAGGCAATGGCTACAAGTATGGTTAACAGCCTTTGAGAAACTCAATCTTTCTTCAGTAAAAGACTCTGATAACATGGCTTTACTTTAGGTGAGTTAACTGACCAATTACATATTGACAGTCATTGAGGTAACATGAGACTAGCTAATTGGCCATGATCATAAGGTTTAGATTCCATTTGCAGACTGTACCTTACAAGGATCAGAATAAACCCAGGTTGCAATCAAGAATTTCTACATTATCAATACGACTCTGGTTCTTCTCCAATTATGGGACTAAATTAATTTCCTAATGGCTCGTAAGAGGGAATAAACCTATATTTGTATGGACTGCTTTGGGATATAAATTCCTCATTAGCAAATTTTGCAAGCCAACACATGGAGGTTCAACTACTCAGTGTAAGATAACGGTCCAAAATTTAACATCACAACCAATAATTGTGTATATCAAGTCTATTCCAGTCATCATCATATCAAGCATGACTATATTTCAAGGAAAATCTTTTTAGGGACCTCCATGCAGTTTCTATCTACATTGTGGTACCATATCCTTAACCAGAATCTAACTGAGTTCAACCTATTGTTTAAATTAGAAAAGGTTGTAGAAAAGTGAAAATATAATAATCAAACTCTAATGCTTGTCAGCATAATGGAACATGGAAGAATGATGCTAAATTATCAACGCTCACTTGATGTGAAAGTGCAATTGCCTTAATGATGACTACGTAATAAATATGCTGAATATAGAACTTAGTATTGATAATTCTTAATCACTAATCTTTGCATTGACTCAGCAAGAAATCAAACATTTTCCACAAATAACTGCCACCAGACCAACAATCTCAAAGCATGGGTGAGAAAAAAGAATCATACCAGGGTCATCAAAGAAGCAACCAATTCCAGTTGCGGAGATTCCAACAGCATGTGCTTCAAGGTACAACACCTGTCCAAGGACTCCAGTCTCCCAAAATAAACGTGGATACATCCAGACATTCTTCTCACGCAAAGTAGGTTCCATACGAGCCAACATACCAAGGCTGAAGCAACCATCACTAGCAATGTCCTGCAAGTAGGTATCACATTTAAAAAGGAGATGCAATTTGCATTGAGTGTCAGTTCATATTTTAGTAAGAAATAATATTATTATACAATGAATGGTGTAAAGTGCCAACCCCAAGTAGTTTGAGATAAAGGTGATGTTGATGTTGAATGAATGGTGTAAAGTCAACTCACATAAGATTAGAGATATTAATAGACAGAATAAATCACAAACCCTATATCATTTCTGTCCCTCAAAATTAGTAGCTCTTAGGATAATAAAGCAAGAAAATAAAATTTTGATACTCTCACATTCAAATTCCAAAGAATGATGCTATTAAGAACAAACAGCAGCTAATTCACTTATTCAATAAAAAGCTCCCCATGAAACCCTAACTTAGGATGGTAGGGGTGAAGAAATCCTTGTACACAGTCTTACCCTTGTATTTTTGTAAAGAGACTATTTCTTGGATTCATACTCTCCACTCTTTGGTCAAAAAGAGTAGCTTTACAAGTTACAACTGCTCTCAGGCACATCCTCATTTATTCACTTATTCAAAGTGGGGAAAAAACAATCAGAGGACTAGTATAGTATGTATGATAAGGTTAAATATATTACTAATTGAGTAAACAGAATTTAAATAATAAATTCTCTTTAAAAGTGTAAAGAACCAATTCAATCCAAAAACTTAAGCTATTAAGTGAAGGCCTCTTTAATGGTTTTATATATCTCTAAAATACCCCCTCACACGAGAGCCCATTGGGCTTGAAGGGTGGACAAAGTACAGGCTCACCTACCTGTACTAAGAAATTCCACAAGAGAAAGTGGGGGGCAGTGAGAATCGAACCCGTGACACCGAGGCTCTGATACCATATAATGAACCAATTCAACCCAAAAGCTTAAGCTATAAAGTGAAGGCCTGATTAATGATTTTATATATCTCTAACAAAAAGCAAAAGCCAAATTCAGAACACCTAACTATTAAAAGCAATGGGAACAAACCATCATCCTAATTCCTATATAAAGAGCGACATTTATTATCTTTTCAGTAACTGTATCTCACAATTTAACTCGAACAATATTTGGTCATGTAACAACTTAGTTTCCAGAATTTAAGAAAACTCCATAATGCAATGTGAAAATTTAGGAGGCAGGTACACAATCCCCAACCATTAAGTACCTGGTGGCATGAAAGCTGCTTAGCAAGCCGCTTACAATCGGATCTAAGGAGTTCATATAGAGGAAGATCACCGGAGCAGCCCTCTGGTTTGACCCAGAGAAAGTCAGGGTTCATAGCTTTCTTCAACTCATCAAGATGATTTTCATTCCTCACCAGTAAATACAACCCTTGAGGCAACCCCACCACTCTATGAACAAACAATGCAGCATGCACCTCAGCATCCCAAGGAAGGGCTCGGAATGGCAATGAAAGCTGTCTCCTTTGCTTCCCTCCACAACCTGAAGGAAGACAATGTGACAGAATCTGATAAAAAGTATCTCTCTCCATTCCTGTAACTCCATCCATATCAACAGCACTTCTACGCTTCCTAACAACTTGCCTCACAGTTAAACCCTTGTATGAATTTTCACTATAAAGGTCACTCCTTTGAAATGGATCAACCAAGAATCTATTTCCCAAGGTCAAAGGCTTCTTCACAACCTCAGCAGTTCTATAAATAATATCCCAACACACATGCTCTTTGCTAAGAGAATTAGGCTTCCCTTTCCACTCCAACTTGGAAAACTCCAATATGGCAGAACTTAACTCCTTATAATTCACATCAAACCCACTAACCCCACTTGGATAAACCAGCATAACACAATCTGGATGCTCAAACTCAATCTCTGGAATCTTCCCTTTAACAGCACGTGATGGAATTTCAAATTCAGGAAAAACATGAAGTCCCATAAGACTCTTCAAATCATCACACCCCAAAGAGTCCAAAAGCTTCACATCCCAACCAAGACTCGCAGCAGCCATTGCAATTGCAGCAATGGCATGACCAACATCATGGTTACAGTACCTGAAAGCACGCTCCCCATACTTCCAAGCCTCACGCCAGAAAACTGAAGACAACCCAACAAGGAAAGAATTGGGGGGAAAGAACTTGGGGAAAAACCCAGATGGGATTTGAGCTCTAAGCTCCAAAGAATGCTCCTTTGGAGCATAATGAGCAACAAAAGGTGAATCAGAGAGAGAGGGTATAGCAGGTGCAACGATGTAGGCCTCCGTAGGGTGCAAGTTGCCACTACTTGGGTTCACTCTGAGGGACCAAGTGGAAAAGCCAGTGGTTTTCCAAGCGGAGAGGGCGAGGGAATCATAGAGGAATTGTGAAATAGTGGATTTGGAAATGGGTTTTGGAGAAGGAAGAGAATTGAAGAGAGAAGAGTAAAGGGGTGCATCAAGTGGTTGTGTTTGTGGTGATGGTGATGGCGGTGAAGTTGGGAAGTGGAGGAGAGAGAGGAGAGGAGCAGAGAGGTACCTGCGAAATGGGTTGGGCTGGTTGGCCCAATCAAGCCCGTGGGGCCCTCTGGCGTAATTTTTGAAGTTGTGCTTGGTTTGGTTGTGGTACTTGAGCACGTGGGAGAGTTTGTGTTCGTCGAGGTTTTGATGTTTGGTGTCGTTGGATGTGGAAGGAGAAGGAGAAGAAGGAGAAGGAGAAGGAGAAGAAGAAAAGGAACCCATGGCTTTTGATTGGAATGAAGGGTGTTTGTGGAAGTGGAAGAGTGTGGTGGTGGTTGGAATGAAATGGAAGAGCGGTGATGGGGGGTTGCGGAGAGGAAGAGATGGCATCTTTCAAATGAATGCTTATTGACTCATTCCATTTCTCAGGAGTTTTCTTCTTCTTTTTTTTGGTGTAGCAGGAGTTTTCTTTTCATGGACAAGGATTGGATTCAAGTTCTAGAAAATACAACTGCAATAGAATGTGATTCTTTTCTTTTTTTGTATATAAAGAAGGGAAAATAAAGTGCTTTTTATTTTTATCTGATATGGAAATAGGAAAATTAGGATTTTTTCTGGATAAAAATTATTTATAATAAAAAATTAATATTTATGTAGATTGTTATTATTTTTGAGATATTTATTTAAACATTCCTTCTTTTAGTGAAAAAAAATATCTTCATTTTTTTTTATAAACCAAAGGTATCTTTTATGAAAGTAATCTTGTTCGAAGTGAGTCTAAAATTAAGACTTTAAAGTTCTTCCAAAAATAATATACTAGATATGATCGAACATATGCTCTCATCTCTACGTGCTCAACTCTCCTGTACTAACTTGTACTAACTGAACTACCATCATTTGATAAAATTCTTTATATTATTAACACCAGAGAGAAGTTTTGGTTAAGTAATAAAACACTAAGGGCTCATTTGGTGGACATGATAAGATAAGAGAGTTGGATAAGGGTAGGATATGATATGGCGCTGATAAGCATATATCATATCATGTGTTTGATGAGCACCTGATTAGAAATCTGATAAGATTATGAAATTTGTTTTGTTTAAGATAACCCAATTCATAAATTAGGGTTTAGGGTTCTTGTGGAGAAATTTGTTCTGATTAGTAACAATAAATCCTGGAATTGGGGTTCTTGTGGAGAAACAAGGTGAGGAAACTGAGGGATCTTTTCACGGAAAGGCAAGGAATTATTCTCAGCTCACGAATTCGAAGGAAATTTTAACAAAGGAAAAAGATGGAAAATCCTTGGATGATGGAGAGAGAAAAAATTAAGAGTACGAGTTCATGAACTTGCTATATAGATGAATGAAGAGACACTTGAAGCTGAATGCTCAAACCACACCAAACTGCGTCGAGCCTCACTCGCATGAGAAGAAGAGAGAGAGGGAGTTCGACAAGGACAAGGAGGAGGGAGATGGTCCAGAGAGAGGAGTGGGTTTGGAAGGGAGGTAGCATGGGGATATATTGGGTATCCAATATTGGTATCCTATCTTGTTGAATCATAACCCAGCTCCCCATGTAGGATAAGAAATCATGTATTTGATAGGATAAAATGAGACAATAGGATAAACTAATCATTTCCTATTGACCCACCAAACAAGAGATAAAAGTATGATATGATAAGTTATCATTTCCTATCTTCTTTATCAAGTGCTCCAAACAGGCCCTAATCATACGACACATCAGTAAAACAATCATGCTCATACTAAAACTCCCTAATTCAAATCGACAATTAAGGGTGTGATACGAGGAGAAGAGAATGAAAAAAAGAAAAATGAAGGATATTATCTTCTCTTTGTTTGGAAGTCAAAAATATAATAAGGGAAAAAAATAGATAATTAATGAGATATTTTTACAATTTTATCCTTTTTAAAAAAACTAATATGATTATTATATTTTACAAGTTAAATTAAATTTAAAATTTATAAAAAATTTATTTATGTAATTTTCATATTTAAAAATAATTTTCCCTCTAAAAATTATTTTCTCTCTCTAAGAACTTTTTTTTTCTCTAAAAATGCATGAGGGAAGAGATCAAAGCATGAATGGAAGGGAAGATTAAGGAGAGGTCATTGTTAGAGTTTCGTTTTTGCATGAAATGAAGAAAGCGAAAGAAGGTTGCTTGTTTCTGAATTAAACGAGAGAAAATTAAAAAATTTGTAAAAAAAAGTAAGGTCATATAAATAATTTATTATATTTTTCCTCTCGGATCCAGAACTCTAATTTTAAATGTGAGAAGACTTTAAAAAATCCTTTATTTTCATCCTTCAATTTTTAAAACTCATATAAAAAGAGGAAAATCTTTCCCTTTTTTTATTTTTCGTGTTAATATTGACTCCCGGATTAAGTCGTTTTTGTGCTTTGTATATACATGATTACTCTAAATATTTAACCGATGTACACTGTCAGCGTATTTATTTTATTTTTTTTCAATGGAAGTGTTTTTTCTGAGATTATAATTATCAAAGGTCTTTTTTTTCTTCATGATTGCATCAAAGAATGACATCTTAATATTACTTACCAGAACTCCAGAAGGAGACAATTATCAACAATCATGGCCAGTCTTTTCAAGCTTTACGACCTCCATGACCTGAGTTTAAGATCAAATTTAATCAAGTATATATATAACACGCACAAAAGCAGAAAACCACAACAATGTTAACCCCACAAGCTGAAAGAAAAAAGATTTGTGTTTAAAGGGGTGAATTCTAACTACATAATCAAAGAGCAAATAACTTGTTTCTTCATGCTTGTTTAAGTGACTTCACTCCTGAGTCGAGCGCGAGAGGTTTTTTGTTGTCAATGCTAGAAGGCCCCCATTTTGCATGATTTGTTGGGTCTTCAGTTATACTAAAACTCATCACGTTAGACTAAATCAACAATAAACACATTATCATATGACCAACAAAAATAACATAATTATACCAACAATCATTGATTTTAATGATAAATAACGTGTTCCTTTTATACGAGTCTGTTCATGGTATCTCAAAGGTTATCCTTTAAACTAAATGCATCAATCAAACAGTGCTCAAATTAGATTAGTTAGGTAATCGATAAATCGATTGGAAAAAAAAAATAATGAGATTGTTTAACATAAAGTGATAATTATTATTATTATTTTTGTTATTTATGGGTTAAATCTACACCCATGATCAAACATGGAAAAGAGAATATAGTTCTATTAACAAAAAATGAAGCTATAGGTTTTGGGTCCATATCCAATTCAAACTTCAAATTTTTGGGCCAGTATATGATAAACACACTGTCACATATTGAGTAGGCCTAAATTGTGGACCACATACTCTGCCCAACATGTTTAACTTCTGGAGTTTGGGCCTTTAAATAAAGTCCTTACGAAGGGTGGCTTTTAAGGTGGAGCATTGGTAAAATTGACCACCGAGAGGATATTATAATTTACAATTCAGTCATTTGATTATTTATAATTTTTCCTTACATCCATTACTAATTTCACATAATCATCACCCAATCCTCGAGATCGAGGCATTAATGTTTTTTTTTTCGGTAAACGAGGCATTAATGCTTTACTTTAGAGAAATATGGAATAGATTGAATATTAATTTGTTGTTTACTAATTTTTTTATTAATTGATCCATTTTTTTAAATAATAAAAGGATTTTACTTTTGTGTCATATTGAGGTAGTTTTGCATCCTGTTGATACATCGAAAAAATGCAAAACACACCCCCCCCCCCCCCCCCCTCTCTTTCCCTTTTTTTTTTTTTCTTTAAAGTGGCTTCACAATAATCCCCTCTCTACAGGAAAATTATTTACCATTTGTACAATATGACAAAAGTAAAACCCATAATAAAATGGAAATTTTAGTAAACATTTAAAAAATCATCTAACAATTTTGTTTCATTATATTCCATAAAAAGTCATGAATTTTCTCAATCATTAAATATCCATAAATTACCTTTTGATCAGAACTACTTTTACAATTAGGCTGATCGTGTGATCTTTCTCTACACAAATGGCCTGAAATCGTCTTGAGTCAGAGCATTTTCCAGTTAGAGTATCTTTAATCCATGGGTCTTAATTGGAATAAGATGAGGGTATACCTACAAGACACTCTGACGCTCAAGTCAGATATGGTTCAAGCAGATTTTTATTATGTTGAAGAAGATGTATACCTTTGTGTTAACATAATGTATTTATAGTAGAGAGATGAGAAGCTTGGGAGATGACCAACTTGCAAGTGGTGAGGTGACAAATCTTCTAATTGGTTACTGTAGGTGGCTGAGATAAGCTTTGCTTATCTTGGTGCCAAAGTAATGTGGCTGTAACTTTTAATGTTGAGGAGCTTGCTAAGATAAGCTTGGGAGATGAAGAAGAGGTAGCAGCCTTTGTTGACCAAAACTGTGCTTAATGATGAAGACATTGAATGTGGGCTTCTTTTATGTGGGACTTATATTAATATCCACGTCACCTTTGTAATTTGCACAAATTTCCATTGCCTCCTCTCGTATTACTGAAGAGTCAATGTTTCATTTTATTAAAGTTTAAAATAAAAATATATTTAATCACATTTATTTTGTGCACTCCTCTAAGATTTTAAGATTAATGTTACCGACAAATTAATCATAAAGGGTATACAGTAAACTGAGCCACGTGCGAAGTAGTAAGATAAAGATGTCATTGGTTAAAGGATGAAAAAATTTGTCCTTGAGAATTAAAGACTACAATAACTATGCTGCAGATGTGTGAGGCCGGGGCTTGGGCCCATTACATTTGGATCATGTTTTATATACATTTGGATCAGTAATAAATATATATATATAAAAGATTAATATTTTTCATGTTGTTAGAAATAATTTTATTTTTTACATACACATAAAGATATATGGAGCCTATATAGGGCCAAATGAAGATAAGAGAGCGAAAAAGAAAACATAGATCCGACATACTTTTATATGTATATAGAAGATAAAATTATCTCCTATAACATGAAAAATATTAATTCTATATATATATATATAGAGGCTTACATTTCTGCAGCTGTTGTACGTGCAGCAATCAAATACTTGCCATATATATATTTGAAAGCATTAAATACGGGTAATCATAACCATACAAAGGATAAAAACATTAAATGTGAGGAATCATAACCATAACTTGTCGTTGTTGTACGTAAAGCGGCTGCAGAAATAATTTTATCACATATATATATATATATTATATTTCGTATTATTTAAAACATTAACCAAATCAAATGTTAAATATCATTCCATCACACATTGAACATAAATATAGTATGGACAAAAAATGCAATGTTCACAAGCTAAATGTGCTGAACTTGACAGGTGCCAGCTGTAATCCAGAAAGGATAAAGTGTAACTCATACACTATATATAACTATTCATCAATTCAAATCGATTCAAATTATTGTGATCGTAGCGAAAAATTTATAATTAAATTAATCGAAAACTAAAAAAAAAATCAAAAATTAAAAAAATCTTGCATATTTTAATTGGATTAGATCAATTTTTAGTTTTGTTGGTAAAAACCGATCTAATGTATTATATATTTATTATTTTTGAAAGATGGTGACTTGAAATATTGGATGCTATTGATAGCAAACTATCTTGTTTTAATTTTTTAATATTTATTAATCTATTTTAACTCTTCATGAGTTTTAAAAATTATTTTAGTTTAAAGAGTTGAATTTTCCAACCTTATTTTAATATAGTATGTGGTTTTATAGTTGAAATTTTAGGCTATTCAAAAAATCGAAATCTAATCCAATCCAATCCAAATTAAATAAAATTGGATTGGATTGAATAAGATTTTTTTAAAAATCCAAACAGAACAGATGATTAAATGATCAAATCAAAGGGATTGGATCAGATGATTTTCACTTTAAAATTGATCCAATTCAGAGTGCGAACACCCTTAATACATGGAATATCATATCCTAATTGTTACTGTAGTTATTTTTTACACCTAAAACAAAACTCAAGTGACATTAATTACAGAGAAGTGGATGGAATAAATAAAATTAGGTGAATTATTTTTTCTCAATATTAATAAATAATATATTATCGGGTTGTCAATATTACAATAATACAAAAGATATTTTCCGGAAAAAAAAAAATCATATGATTTTGATGGTGGTATCCCAATTAGTAAAAGAAGGGGACCATAGTATCCGTTTCTTTCACGGGCGTGTTTTAGCATGAAAAAAAACAACACAGAAATGACCCCAAGAAAAAAGAAAAAGAAAAAAGAGATAAGAAAGTGGAGTGGCAGAAAGAAGCTGATAAAACTAAGCATACGGCTTTTATGAAACATCACCATATGAGAACCGTTAATATGAATCACCAACGTCATATAAAACCACCTGACATAAGAAGATATGCATGAAATGGGTATAGGTAGATAAGAGGTTATAACAAATTACTCAAATAAGTAAGTTTCCTTCCTACACGTGTTCTTATAATGTGAACAAAATATAAAAGTCTATGTTGATTTTCACGGTCCCCATTCCATTACCTGCAAAAAGATCAACAAAATTTCATTATTCAAAGACTGGTCCACACAATATTATCACAAAGATGATACACCAAATTTTCCGTATAGCAGTAGTAGTAGGACCACACACAGTGCAACAGAGCCATAGAAAACAACTGGGCCCTAAAGCCCTATAAGATCTTTTACAAAAAAAAAAAAAGTCGTATGAGATTCCCATGAACCACAAGAAGATCCATCCACCAATACCATATTTGACACAATGACACCACAAAAATAAATGGACCCACACCCATCATTCATCATAACACGTTTAATAAAAGTGAAAAGTTTATGTCATTTTAAAAGATATAAAATTATGTCATTTTAAGTAAAAAAAAAGATAAATCATAAAAGAAAGATTGGACAAAAAAAAATGTAACTCACATTTCTTTGTGAGACTAAAATGACACAAATTATATCATTTAAAAAAACAAATATTTTTTCCTTAATAAAATATGTGGCATGCGCGGATAAAGGCATTTTTATCCAAACAAGGCAAAAGTACAAATATATCACCTATTTAATTTTGAGAAAAATTATATTTATAATTTTTTTCTTATAACCTTTTTATAATTATTTTTTTATTTTTAAATTAAAATCAAATTAAGAGTTATAAAATAATATTAAATGAGAGCTATTGATTTAATTTTGATCTAATAACCATAAAATGGTTATATGAGAATTTTTTTTATAAATATAACTTCTCTCTTAATTTTTTCTTGACAAATTATTTACTTTTTTTCTGGATACAAATTATTTGTTTATTTAATACGAATTAAACCTGCATAAGAATTTGTCTTAAAGTATGTGGATCACCAATTTACCACCATATATGAATATTTATACAAATATTTGCATAATGCAAGACGCGCTTGCAATACGCATATAGGTCATGCGCACCCCATATACTTCTTACAGAGCATGACACGTGAAAAACTCATTTTGATTTTTGAACAAGTTATAGATGGAGTGATGTACGAGTTAAACACATATATTCTTTATATGCATTTCACTCAAATTAATAAATATTTTGTTAAAACAATAAAATAGATGATATATTTGGATTTTTTCCATTGCATTGATAAAAAGCAGCACATAAAAGAGGACAAATGTTGCCTTCATCGTAATCCCACAGGTACATATATAAAACCCTTGGCTAAATTAGTGGGAATACATTACTCCAAAAGTTAGTTCAAAGGGTGAGAGTGTCCAAAGTCTTATAAAGGTACAACCAATGTGGGAGAATATATCTCAACACGCTCCTCACATGAGAGCCCATTGAGCTAGAAGCGTGAATATTACACATGCCCAATTTTTGGTTTACCTTTTTGTGCTTTTTATTTTAATTCCACTTTAAAGTGGGGGCGGTGAGATCGAACTTGTAACCTTATAGTTACTCAAGAGCTCTCTCTGATATCATGTAAAGAACCTTGTGATACATCACTCCAAAAGCTAGCTCAAAGGGTGAGAGTGTTCAAGGCCTTATAAAAACCACATTAGTTACCCATACAACCAATGAGAGACTATATATCTCAACAACTATCTTAGGGTCTTTAGTACTAAACCCCAATGCCTAGGATAAGCCCTAATGTGTGAGATGACCAATGAGGTATCTGCCAATTGCTAAAATCATACTTGTTTCTAACATCAAACTCATTTTTTATAATAACTTCTTTAGTTTTAAAGGGAAATTTTTTGTGTATCATTAAATTAGAACTTTTTTTATCTAAAGTGAGTTTCTCTTCAAAGTGAACAAATAAAAATATATTTATCCTTAAATTTTAGTGGGTTAGAGTTACAATACACTATAAATTAAATTAAAAGTTGATACACTCTTACATATAACATGTTTGATAATAGCTTAATTTTTTTTTTCCAAAATTTCGGTTCAAAGTTTTAAATTAAAAACTTTTTAGTTTCAAAATAAGTTAATTTCACTTTATAATTATAAATTCATTTTTAGACTTGTCCATTAAAAAAAATTGTACTACTCCAATGAAAATGTGTATATATAACCACACTTGGAAATGAGGCAGTAGCAAGTGACCCCAGTTATACTTGGTGCCATTTCTTCACTCCCCCGTCTCTCTCTCTCTCTCTCTCTCTCTCTCTCTCTCTCTCTCTCTCTCTCTCTCTACAATGAGTATCCTCCGTTCTCTTGCAAGAATCCAGGGTATGCATATAAATTTTAACACCTGAATTGATTGTTCTTGTTTCCATGTTGACATAATTAAAGAGGAATCTGTCTTCTGGATTGTAAAGTTTGAAACTTTGGACAATCCTCTATTCATCTGGGTGTTTCACAATTTATTTTCAATTTTTTTATTTTATTTTGGGTTGTTTACCCTTTTGCTTACTTTTGTTTGAAAATGAAAAATGAAATTGAAACATCTATCCGATCCTGGAGATTATTCTATTGCTTAACAAAGTGTTTCTTGAAGTAGTTTAAGTTATAGCATTTTTAGTACTTCATTTCTAGTAACAAGTAACACTTTATATTAGTTGACTTACACTCTTATTCCACTTAACAGATACTTTAAATACCTGGTTACATTTTGTAATTTTTTTACTTTCATTTTCTTACACAAATACAAATGAAAATACTATAATAATTAGATAAATTGTATTTTATTAACTAATACCAACTTTTAAAACATTAATATATCTATCATAACAGTGTCATATACGTGCTTCCTAGCTGTGGGCTGAAAAGAAATTTTCTGATTAAAGAAAAGGGAAGAAAAACATGAGATTGAAGCAAAATAGCTATAAAGCGATTTTTTTTTTTTTTTTTTTTTTTGATAACAAGCGATTCTTTTAGTTTACTAGAAACATCAACATATTTTAGTTCCATGGAATTTTTTTTCTTTTCTTAAAGATTTTCTCAAATAGAAATAGAGAACGGAGTAACTAAAAAAATGAATTGTTAGAGGATTTTTTGTTAGGGAACGTGTCATATTTAATTACTCCCTTTTTTTTTTTACCAATTTCATTCTTTTAACTAATTGCGGAAGAATTTGCAAATTGATAAAATCGGGTGGACAAATTTAAGTGAACCCAAAGAATTTGATTTTCTGTTTCTTATATTAGCATAGGAGTTGAGTTACTTGTGTTTAATATGTTTTTTTTATTTTTTTTATTTTTTTATCAATTAATCTGGTTCGAATGGGACAGGAAAAACAAACTTAAACTCGAGATCAGTGTTAAATTAAAACAATCCTTGCTAGTTAATCACCGTGCTTGTGGTGCTATGTTTTATGTTTTAGGAAGAGAGTTTAATTTACCAAATTTAAGTTTACTATTACACATCTATCAAACTCTAAAGTCTAAATTCATTGATTTGCATATCCCTAATCACTCAAAAATAAAATTCGTTAGTATGTAATATAAGTAAAATTGACAAAATTTATTGGGCCTCTAAAAATAAACATTGAATTTTGTTTTGTTCTTTTGACACAGAAATGTCAAGGATAGGACGCAGAGGCTTACATTCCATGCGGGAACTGTACGGGGAAAAAATATCTCGTGAGTCGGTAGATTCAGCCCAAAAACGTGTGATAGATGCTTCACTTACACTCATTCGAGAAAGAGCAAAACTTAAGGCATGTCACCTTTCATGTTATCTTCCTTTACTGATTTTCTATTTTTATTTTTTCTAATAGTAAAAAGCATAAACAACACATTGGAGGCTACAGGTTGGTACCTAGCATAACACTTTTCATATTTTTAGTGAAATGAAGTTTGAACAATTGAACCACTTATCAACTTGAGTGGTATAAATGATAAAGAATGAATTCAACTCAAAAATTTAAGTTATTAGCGTAAAGCATATTATTAGTTTTATATTTTATATGATATTTTTCTAATATGAAAGTTCATATAAAGTTAAATCAACCGAAAAATTTAAATTATTAAGTGAAGATAAGTCACTGGTCATATATTTTATATCATATTTCTCTAACGTAACTATTTTTAAAACTACCAAGTTAAAAGGATGGATAGACTATCAATGAAACAATTTTTAATTTAAACTGGTCAAACCAATGAGTCCGGTTTGTTTTTATTTGGGTGATTTTTATTATAATAAGCTTTGCAAGAAAGCAAAAGTAAATGCAAAAGTTGTTTTTCCTCCAGGGAGAACTTGTACGTGCTTTTGGAGGTGCTGTAGCAACTTCATCTCTTCTTGGAGTTCCTATAGGACATAATTCATCATACCTTGAAGGACCCGCATTTGCTCCCCCTTTCATTAGAGAGGCCATTTGGTGTGCTAGCGCAAACTCCACAACTGAAGAAGGTATTCATGTGGTTTTCTTTGGTGTTTGGTCGACGAGAAATTTTTTAAATACTAGAGAAATGTAATTACTAGGGAAATGGTTAGAAAATGAGTTTAGTAGGAAAATGTAAAAAAAATTGTTTGGTTGACCGAAATATTATTAGGAAAATTTATTTAAATTTGCAAAATCTATGTTCGGGAGAAACTTCCCACTTGTTTTTTCACTTCTCCAGTTATCTCAAAATACCACATCTCAAGTGGTATTCTGTAACAGTGAATTTCATCCAAAAATCAACACAAAAGTCATTTCCCCATCTATCTCATTTGCCTAGTATTTTTTTGAAAAAACCTGAAACAAACGTGGTATTCTCCAATATCCATTTACACTTTCCCATCAATTCCAAAATAATCCTTCAACCAAACACTACCTACGATATTAGAAACTCTTCTTTGTTAAGACGAGCCTAAATTTTTTGGGAATTGAAGAGGAAGGGGTGAAGTCTTATATTGGTAATTAATAAGTATAAAGAATCATATACTTAAGGGTTTAGTCTATGTGATTTTAGATGATAGAAGTTTATATCTTTTTACTTTTTATAACTATATATTTCCCAGATGTAAAAGTTGTTTTTTCTCTCTTTCCACTTCAGTCAATAAATTTCTAAAAAGATTCTGAAAAGAAAAAAAATTTAATATTATAACTATATATTTTCCAAATACATAATTATAAAGTGATAAAAGACAAAAAAAAAAATATCCTTTAAAAGGGAAAATAATTTTTTCTATATTTAATGTGTTAAGGTTTTAGATTAAGACATGATCTCATAATCCAATTATTATAGTTGGTGTCACTTAGACTATTGATGATAGTCTCTTGCTATGACTATAGTAAACTCAAGTGGCAATTTATTCTTAGCATGATTTTGATTTTGCAGGAAAGGATTTAGCGGATGCACGAGTGCTATCTGATGTTGGTGATGTTCCTATCCAAGAACTTCGAGATTGTGGGGTAGATGATGAAATATTGATGAATGTTGTTGGTGAATCTGTCAAGCTAGTCATGGAGCAGGTAATTTTTATTTTTTAAAAAAGAATGTAATTTTTTCCCCATTATTTTCAGTTCATTATGATTTATTTTTCCTAAAAACTTCACTTAGATTGGAATTCTTTTTTGTGGAAATAACAAGATTTTCTAGCATCAAATCTACTATCACATGAATTATCATATTTTTCTTATAACTCTGTGTTTGAACAAGATATAGTTTGATTCTCATGGTGTCTATATTCTTCCAGGATCCATTACGCCCCTTAGTTTTAGGTGGTGATCACTCAATATCATATCCAGTTGTTAGAGCTATCTCTGAGAAGCTTGGAGGACAAGTTGATATTCTTCATCTTGATGCACATCCTGATATCTATGATAAATTTGAAGGAAACTATTATTCGCATGCTTCTTCCTTTGCTCGAATCATGGAGGGTGGCTATGCTCGAAGACTCTTGCAGGCATTTTTTTTTTATATGTTTTGTAGCTTTTCTATCCTAAACAGTTTAATTTGATAAGGCATTTCTGAAACATAAACCATGTGATGCTCTGTCATAATATGCTATTACTTTCATCTCATTCAGCATTTTTATTCTGTTATTAATTTGTACCTCTGTTCATACTGTTATGATTTCTTCTTGCATAATAGTATGATCTATTATAGATTATTTGAAATAATGTTTAGTTTGACCAGCAAAGAGATAGAACTAAGTATGTTGAATTCCTCATAAGGAAGTGTGTTTTGTTGAAATTTAGTTCAATTTAATTTAACAAACCTATCAAAATGATTCTGTAGTGTATATAAGCTGAATTTATCAGGTAAGTGGAAAAGAACAGATGCATATGGTTTCTTTAGTTTTATTTCTTTGACTTTTGTTTTCATCAGACGAATTTTATTGTTAATTTTGTTTCAGTAGCTAAATTGCTGCAAGCTCTTCACTATGTTATAATATCTGATTTCTCTTCCTAAGTGATAGTAGTGAATATTTCAAAATTCATCCACGATTTGCATGATATGTCACATATTCTTCATGCTTTTTAATTCATTAATTTATTTCAGGTTGGCATAAGATCAATAAATATTGAAGGGCGTGAACAAGGCAAAAAATTCGGTGTAGAGCAATATGAAATGAGAACATTTTCAAAAGATCGCCACTTCTTAGAGAACCTGGTCTCTCTCTGTCTATCACTTTTAATATTTTTTGTTTTTTCTTGTTTTGATAGTTGGTGCTTATTTGGTTTATATAAACCTTTGGGATTTTGATTTTGCAGAAACTTGGGGAAGGCGTTAAAGGGGTATATATATCAATAGATGTGGATTGTCTTGATCCTGGGTATGCTCCAGGAGTTTCTCATCATGAATCAGGTGGTCTTTCTTTCAGAGATGTTCTCAACATCCTGCAAAATCTTAAAGGTGATATTGTTGGTGGAGATGTGGTTGAATACAACCCAAAACGTGATACTGCTACAGGATTAACTGCTATGGTAGCTGCTAAGATGGTGAGAGAACTTGCTGCAATCATGTCAAAGTGATAAATCTCTTCCCTCATGATATTTACTTCAATGTACTCTTCATTCCCTAAATGCACCTTTAGTGGCATTCAGTTTTTACTAGATTTTATTTGAAGCATTAATAAAAGAGTTTACATGTACTTGTGCTTTAGCTACTGAGAACTTCCGTGCAGCACAATGCTTCATATGTAATTTGGTATAACATGTATGTCACAAACAGACTGCTATGCCTTTATTTTCAGCATATTGTTATGCCTCGGTTTTTACTAGGATTTGAATTGAAATAATGGGTATCAAGAATGAAGTTTAGACCTCTCAATAGCCTCAAAAGTTAAATTGTTAAGATATATAATTTTATATTATTATATTATTCCTTAACATACTATGTGTAGCAATTACAGAAAATATATCGGTCGTACAAGTAATATAGTGAAAAATTAGGATTATCGCTTTCATGAAGATTGATGTATCAAACAATAACGTATCTACGCAATCAAAGTTGGGTCAACCTTTGGGATATTGTGAGAATATAACATTGAGTGCATAAAATCCTACTGGCTACAGGCGTATGGCATTTTAAGTGTGTTCCCAGCAGTGTTGATAAACCCGGAACGCACGGTCGGGTCGACTCAAAAACTAATAAATTGATCATATAATCAGTTGAGTGAAGAGCGGATTGGCCAAGTATTAAAACATTTGAGTGATTTGTTGCTTATTGACTTATATAAATGATGTACCGACAATATTAATATTATCTTGATTATGCACTATATAAGAATTCTGATTTAATATATAACTAGAGATGTTGTCTACTGAACCAAAAGCACCAATATCACAAATATTATATTTTTGTTTGATTATTTGTTGAATAATAATGTGTGATTTTTTTTTATATTAAAATATTAGAAATTGATATTATTTTTTACAGGTATTTGAATATGTTTATAATTTTTTTAATGTAAATAATAAATTTATATATATTTATTAAGTCATGCGATTGAACCAGTGACCTAATACATCACTCAAAAACGCGCTGAATTTAATTAGATTGGTTCCCACTTTCTTGTCTTCTCGTAACAGGGGTAATCATATTATACTTTTATCCATTTTGCCATGTTGATTTTTTTTTGTATTATTTTTTTCTATACGGAGGAGTGTTTTTTAATGTAGTTGGGCTTAGGGTACGAAGGATGGTACGATAAAGTTCAACAATGAAAATTGATCCATCGGGTTTTGGCAGACAAGCCCACTCGAAGTAAAGTCCATTTTGTCTTGTTGAGTCTTGATTTTGATTGAGAACCCTTCATATGCATGAAATAAAAAAAAATATGGACAAGACAAGGAAAAAAAAATCAAACTAAGATAAAATTTAGAAAATACAACTGAAGACATAAAAAGAAAATAAATCTGAAAAATTCTTATAGAAAATCAAACTATGACATGAAATATTTTTAAGACGTAGAATTTTTGTTGTAAAATTTTAAATTTTCTTTATTTAAACAGTAGCACATTGATTCATGCGGCCCCTGTGTATGCTGCTGCAACAACAATTTCTACAGCTAACTGGTCATATTTATCAAAGCTCAGATTGCCAATCTTCTGTTCAAAAAAACATTTAAAATAAAAAGCACAAAAAAGTTCACTCGTGTGTCTGGGACATGACATATTAAAACTATAGCGTAACAGGGATATACAAAAAAAGAGGATAGAAATAGTGTGAACAAACTATAGTTACCAGCATGTGTCTTCCGAGTGCTTCTGGTTATAAGCATACATTATAAGCATATTCATGACACATAATATAAAATATAAAACAGAATAAAGGGAATTGTTGACTAACATAATAAAATATATATTATTTAAGACAAAGACATAAGTGACGATGAAGAGGTTAAAAGATTAGAAACAATTATTTCATCTTGCAACAATCAAAATTCCAAAGTTGTTTGAGAATGTTTAATATATATAGATTATCTTGGAATATATATTTTTGAAAATCCATTCCTTTATTAGTTTATTTATATTAATAGGGTTTAGTCTTATTGTTATTGTTTGATCCTAGAGGATCGGTATGTCCAACATAAGGTTGATATTTGTATCTTGGATCGGTACGTTCGCGAGAGTCTATGAAAGAGACACTGCAAGGGGTAACAGATCACTGTGCACAATAAAAATACTGGCATATAACCAAAGGCGTGAGTTGTGTGCACAGTGATAGGCAAAAGAGCAAAGAATTCAGTGTGTATACCTGAGAAGCTTAACCCTTTATTTGTGTCTGTTGAGGGATGAGATAAGTAGTTTATCTTTTATCTCACTGGAATAGTCCCGGCAAATTCTGGGTTAAACATTCCTCTACATGATACTTATTATGTGGTTGCACATTTCCATTATGTACTTTCTATGGGAGTTGTTTTTGCTTTAAGGGGGCGTTTGGTATTATAGATATTTTTTTAACCTGGAAAAAAAGATAGTTGAGTATTTGATAAGAATTTTTTTATCCCGGATAAGTTACGAAAAAGTGTTTGGTTGACCAAAATTTTGCCGGAAAAGTTGAGTTCATTTTAATGATGCTATGTTTGATTGATGATAAAATATTGATGAGATAATTATTTGACTCAACATATTATATTCAGAATCTAAGACCCCAGGCAAAAAAAAAAAAAATACCAAAGAATCAGTGGTGTAATTATTTGCATTTGTGTAGTTGAAAAGGGAAATACCCGGGAAAAATATCTGCTGAGATTTTTTTCACAATACTCATACCAAACATGGTTATTAAATATTTACCACCCTACTTCCCATCATTCCATACCAAATACCCATACCAAACACCCCCTAAGAGGTCCAGAATAGTTCCCCCCAGCCCAGTAGTTTCGGTGTTCGGGCTGCCGGGGTGTAATAGCTAGTTGTCTCTGTGTTGACGAACTTGTCTTCTTTTTTCCTACAATTTTCTTCTGGGTTGAACCCTTCTTGTCCGATTTAATTGGGTCGATAATTGCAATTATTGTCTCCGATTGTGTTCAAGATCAAACTTATCGAGCTTCGTTATTGGGGTTCAGTTATGTCCTGGTCCATGTTGGGTGCTAAGTGAGTCTAAACCCATCTTTCAAATCTGCAGCACTTACTTCTCTTGTTGGTAAAACTTTCCTGACCAAGGTCCCTATTAGGAGGGTTTTCCCTTTTACCTCTTTGTCGAGGTCTTATCCAGACCTTTCTGAGTTACGATCAGTGTATTCTTGTTTATCTGCGTTCCGTGTTCAAATTTTACCTTGGCCTCTGACTTTTGGTGTTGGCTTTAGTTAGCCAAGTACTGAGTATGTTGTTCCAGTATTCCTCCCTCAACTTTTTTAGCCGAGGTCCAACTTGGGATTGGTTAATCTTTCTTTAGACTGCCTCGTTCAGGCTCTAATCTTTGCTTTTTTGAGTTCTATTTCTTTTTTACTTTGTCCCTTGTGCTTTATAACATTTATAACTTGGCTAGCTTCCGTGAATTAGGTTGCGGGGGTCATATTGAGCTGAAATCTTTTGTCCTTATGACTTTAGTTATATTGTGTTTTATGTCCGTGATGTTGGGATCATGTTTCACGTAGTAGACTACTTCTGCGGTTGGACACTCTGAGGATCCATCTAGCTCTAGTGATTGGGGCGATCCATTTGTCTAGAGCTTTGGCCATATCTATAATAGCTCTAACCCAATTAATTAGCAAATTACATGTAATTAAATGATTAAGCATGTTTTAGTGAGTAAAATTGAGTATAAGACTTAATTAAATGAATTTGAGTCACTTTGGAGTTAAAAAGTGTACTCAGTGAAAATTAAGGGGTATAAATAAGTGTAGGCAAAAGTACCCAAAATATAAAAATAAAAGTGGAAATATTCCTAGAATAATATTCCAGACTTTTTGGTAAAGTTTGGTAATTAATGGAGTCGAATAGATAGACGAACTAATACCCACTTGTTACCACTTAACATGTGTTAAGTGATAAAACAACACAAAAGAAACCCAAACCCCCCCAAGAAACTCGTCGACAGAAAGGAGAAGAAAGAAGAAGAAGGAGAAAGAGAAAGGGAGAGAGAAGAGGAGGGAGCTATTCTCAACCAAATTTGAAGATTCAAAAGCCTAAATCACTTAGAATCTCGCCCTCATCATTAATCCAAGCTTGGTTCTTAGTGGGGAGTCTTGTGTTGTGAGATTTTTCCTCTCAAAGTTCGCCCCTTTATGAGAGTTTGGGGTTTTGGGAGCTTCAATCTCCATTGAAGCTTGAGGAGCCATCAATCCTTGGTTGTGTGACCATTGGTGGTAAGATTCTAACCCTTGAACCTTGTTTTCTTGGAAAATTTCATGGTTAGGGTTTAATGAATAGTGTTTTAGGGTTTTTATGAAATGTTGATAGATTGGCTATGTTCTAGGCGTATTGGAGCTTAGCGTATGTTATGAGAAATGCTAAGAATGATGATTAATCGGTGAAAATGAGCTTAGATAGTTATATGAGTATACTTTGAATATTGCAAGAATATAATACTTGGTTTTGAGTTTTCTTGCAATTATGCTCAATGGTTTGGCTTGGTTGATTGATGATTGTGTTGGTTGATTGATGATTGTGTCCTTGTGATGTCTAGGATTGAGACATTTGGACCAATCGTGAGTGATCAACCATCGGAGCAAGCTATGGAGCTTGATTAGCTCCTTGGAATAGGTAAGCTCATGCTAAGTTGTGATGTATAGTTGTTGTGGTATTAATGAGTATATATGAATATTCATTGGATGGCATGATTGATACTATGGCACCTTAATGTAGGTGAAATTGCAAATAATAGTTGGAATTAAAGTTGACTAGTTGTGGAACCTGTTGGTGGTAAACAAAGGTTGACTGAAGCATTGAGGTAAGCCTTCGGACCTTGGGTGTAATTCCCTTTATTGTTCCACCAAGCCCTGAAAGGGTAGTGGTAGTTATAGTGTATATAAATGCAATGAAATAGTGTAATGCTTTGTTATACGTATGTGTATGCATTTGGTGTGGCATAGGATGGTGTTTCCCTTTGTTGGTATGTTGCATGACGATGCGTAAATCATACTTGGTAGTTTAGCTGGCCAGTAGGACTATTTGCATCTGAGTTTCCTTAGGACAGCTTGAGAGCTCGAGGGATTTCTCCTGGAGATGTTATTGCACTTTGCATAGATATGTATTTACTGCATTATTATTGTTATTGCTATTACACTGATATGGAACTGTGGGGTGGAT